ATGACTTTTTATACACAAACCTAATAGCTTCATATGACACACTCTATTGTCTAGAATTTGAACATTTTTCTTATATCAACACGATACAGACATTTGTATTACACGCATACATTAATATTTATTTGATTTTGATTATGCGCTGAGTAATAGTGTTCTAAATGGAATTCATTGGAGAACATTTAAACATTAAGAAAACATTTATATCTCATATTGTATCTCTACTGTTGCATGTGACAGATACAGTTTTACAGATTGTTGCACCGCTACAATCTAACTATCAATTAAGGGCCCTAAATTATTTCTTATAGAAACTGGGACTGCATTGTAAAAGTAATAATCAAAACATATATTAGATTCTGTAAGGATAAACATATGGTGCAAAGTATGCCCACAATATGAAAAAAAACATAGCACAATTTATTTTAAAGAATATTACGACTTTTTATCTTCCATTTATTATTTCTATAAAATTAATTTATATCAACCTTCACAATTAAATGGAATATAATGTATTTTAGAGTGTTCAATGGGTACACTGTACAGAACAATTATGTTTTTCCTTATGTATTAAATTACTTCTATTTTACTTTCATGACCACTATTGTATTATAATACACTTTGTTTACCATTGGTCATCAATATTTAAAGCATTAATTTCATAGATATTACATGCTCTCTATGAAAGGACTCAATGAAAAGAACAGTGTGATGATGATTAACAAATATTCCTCCACTAGTAAACATGCTATTTTTTATATTTGAAAGAAAAAGCTTAGAAGTATAGAAAGATAGGACATGCGTGCCATATGCTTTCAAATTTATACAACGGATATTAAAATAACATAATTTGTTCATATTTGTACTCAACGTGAATTTCGAAACGAATTAAAAGTAATGTCATCATATTTAAAATGAACAATTTTTAGTATAAGTGAGAGTGAATTAAGAATGAGGCATATTAATGCTTGCTGAGTGTACATAATGTAGCATAGTAAATAACATGCTCTAAATTTCAATCAAGCGAACATTGACAATGAAATAACATCGATTGTTTTCCCTAATATATTTCAGTGTGTACACAGTCTAATAGAATAATTAATCAGATGATTGAAGTGTAGAGTGTGTTGTAAGATGTTTGCTTCATTTACATTTGCTACAAATTTGTCACGGTAGAAAATATTATTCGTGACATTTTTATTACGAGAAGTCTTATATATTAAAATTTTAGTTGAGAACGTCCAATGCATTTGTAGATCCCGCATACGATGACTGTTTACTTTGATACTTCAAGGAGCACAACTGGAGATATTAATAATACAATTCAATGTCAGGTTTAAGCTTAGGACTTTTTTATATTATGTACATACGTACATAAACATAATACATTTATTATTAAACTGAAGAAAAGCACTGAGGTGTGTGATGTAGTAATGATATATACGCATTGCATTTATTGTAAGTAGTGCATTTATTTTACAGTTATGTGCGTACTTACTGTGTCCGTTCATTCATTCCTTATATACGAATCAAAGTCTAAAACAGAACTTTATTAGTGGTTTTCTAGATACTTCGCGTACTAATCGGATTACATTTTATAACAGTTTTACCAAGTATAAATCTTCACATTTTATAAACTAAACGCAAGATACAGCACAATCTTTTTTTTAATATTATACAAGTTTTAATACTAATACTTATAACTTTTTTGCAGTATTACAATGTAAATAAAATCTTTATTCTATTATTCCAACATATATTACTTACACCTACAAATTTTTCTCGTTATGCGTCGTAATTAAGCTGTTATAAATCTGCAACATATTGTAACAATTAATTAATCACAGCCTTGTTTTTAATGAAAATAGAACAATTTAGGCTTTATAAGAGATATTCGAATTTATCCCGTGTGTATATATGATGTTTTAGTGAATATAGGAATGGAATTGATAAATGTTTTATTAATAATAGAACTCTGAATTTATGTATGTTAGTAAGATGAATTACACTACTTACAACTTGTGCATTTAACAAAGGTATTAACATTGATTTACTTTTTGGAAGGAAAAAAAAACAGTAAAGGATGCTACAAACCAAAGTCCAATGTTAATTTTAATGTAACATTTATAATTTTTATTGTGTATTATTGCATATAAGTATACAAAGAATGGGTGTATGAAATGTAAAGATATTCTAGTCACCAAAAAAATTGATTTTATTTGTATATGAAATGTTTTACCGAAATTTATATTCGAATCGCGTTTAATCAATAAAAAAGAAGAGGAAAACAATCAAATTGAACTGACAAAAGAAATCACATGAAAGTATCGATCCAATTTAAGATATCGTCAATTTAAGTAGTATCAAACTAAACCAAACACGAAAAATAAGAGTACATTAGAATTCAAGTGTACGTACATGCACTGAGATACAAATTTAATCATCAGTAATGTATAAACATAACATTTATATATTTTCTTAAAATTTCTGTAAAACCACTAATTTCTGTACTAATAAAGCAGCATAAGGGAGCATTATGATGATACAAATTATATTTTTCCTTTTCCATGTTCATGTTAATAAATATTCAAATAATTTAAAACAATTGTATACAAAGATTTAAGAGGAAAAACTTTACATTAAAAAATTAATGGTACAAATTTTCTACTAATGTTTTCATAGATATGGAACAATTGCATACAGACATTTCTCAAATGAAAGTTATATATTTGAATACATAAACAAATAAAGTTTATATATTCATGTATCAAATAAAA